CCATCCCCACAGACTGCTCTGGAAGTTGTCTAATTTGTCAACGTCTCTCTTTAAATGTGACAGCCAAAATGAACACAATACTACAGATGTGGTTGATTAGAGCAAGGTTTACTATTAATTTTTGTGACATATGGACACTATACTATTAATATAGCCTAACTCTGACATATATATATATATACATATATATGTATATATATATGTGTGTGTGTGTGTATTTTTTTAACTATATCATGACATGACACTGGTTCATATTAGCCTTTTTTCCCCTAAAGAACTGCCACATACTAAGTCATCTCCTTTCTTCCACACCAATGAATTACGATGCATTTGCTGCTATAAAATATCTTTTTGCTTTCAGCATAGCATTGCACCATATTTGAATGGTGTTTAACTCTAAATTCTGTTATCTGTTTGCAACAGCTATCCCTTCTCCAGTCATCCATAAATTTTAAAGCAAGCCTCCTAGATCTTTGTCAAAATCATTCATGCAAATGCTAAAAAAAGAAAAAAGAAGAAGAAGAAGAAGACTAAGACCCAGGGCAAAGGTTTGTGACCCTACTAGGGTTACTCCCTTACCAAAACCCAATAACCCACACACCTAGCTAGTACTGGTTTCAGCCTGCCTCCCATTCACCCAGCAATTCTGCTAATTAGTCCTCACACAAGAGCAGCCAGAAGCCTTGACAATTACTTTGCTGAAAGCAAGAATTGCTTATCTTTAAAAACCAAGTGTAAAAGATCTATACATATTAAAATTATAGTTGTATCAAAATATGCATGCACACAGACCAAAGACCAGAAGAAAAGGAATATAAGTGGAAATGTTTATTCTAGTGTCAGGGTGTGGAGATTGTGTGTTGGGGGGGGGGGGGGAGTGTTATATGTTGTTTTAAAATTCAATATTGTCTTCAATACTTTACATTATTTGAAAAATCAAAATGTGGTAATTATGTAGAGATAATTTAGCTTAGGAGCAATCTATGTGAAATAGTTTTGAGAGCATTGAGACTCTATCTGTTTCTATCAACCTGAAAACTCCGAGCAGGAAAACAGTCATTTGAAATGACTTGTTGATCCTTAGAAACACTGGCTTTAAAAAAAAATTTTTTTTTTAATTAAAAAAAAATATAGTACTTAATGTTTCTAGGGAGACAGACAGAAGAACTGAATCCTAAATTTAGAAAACTGGGATGTTAGATGTGTGTGTCCATTTGTCTATCTGTCTCTTGGAAAGGTTAGGAAAGTATGGAAAGAAAAGAGTCATCACGTTTATATTTCTGTGAAGCTCTGAACTAAAATGCAGCAAAGTGAAAAAATTTCCTTTTCCAGCCCAAGACTCTCTAACAGACACATAAATCCATATCATCTATTCACCTAGAGTTATTTTTACACTAAGAGTAGGAAATAAGATAAATAATAGAATATTCATTTAGGTGTTTATAGAGTTTGGAAGAGTAAATTTTAAGAAAGGAAATTGATTGTAAGTATGTGTGGACAATTAGTAAGAAGAAAGAAGGAAGAAACAACCACACAGAGAAAGAGGCAGGCTGATTATTTTGGAGAAAATGTGATCTGTAAACACTGGTCTTATCAGAAACACAAACAATCTGGATATTTGACTTGAGAATTTTTAACAAGACAGGATTTCTTCATTGCTTCAGTATTTTGTTTAGAGGATGATTTTCATCAATGGAAAACCGAGTGTTAGAAACTGGAAACATGTTATCTTTATCTCTTTGGGGTTGTCTCTAATCAGTTTTTTCTGGTACTATTCCTTGCTATTTTCAATGTCTGTGAGACAAGTGAAAATTCTACTCTGCTTAAAAATATAATTTGACTACCATACTAGAAGTTATGCTAAATACATGAGATAAATCAACAGCTGTTAGATTTATGGCAAACTGTTATAAAAATTGATAAAATGAGTATTACAAAGTCCAGTTACTATTTGCCAAATGAAAATTCTACTTTGCTTAGAAATAAGTTTTCCCTACCTTCTTAGAAATTAAGACAAATGCAGGTGGCAAATCACAAGGCTCATAGATCCATACAAACTGCCCTTTTAAAAATGGATAAAATGTCCAAATAGAAAGTCCAGTAATTATTTGACATAGGAAAATTTTAGTTTCTTTTGAAATGCAATTTCCCACTCCACTAGAACTAAAATACATGAGGTAAATCAACAGCTTCATGATACATGGCAAATTGTTATAACAGAGGTAAAATATCCAAAAAGAAAGTCTGATTATTATTTGACAAGTGAAAAATCCCTCTAGGTTTTCAAATGCAATTTTCCGACCATACTAGAAGTTAAATATAGGTGGTTAATCAACAGCTTGGTACATTCAGGGCAAATTCTTGTAAAAATGGATAAAATGCCCTTATACAAAGTTCAGTTATTATTTGGTAAAGTATATAATGACAACTAACACCTTGTTCACTCTACATTTGACCTTGTAAAAATGGGTAGGAAACCATCAACATCGGGAATAAATATCTGAGAAAATCTAAAAGTCATTTAGATATTAAATATCAAAAGTCTTTAAAGTCCTTATCTACTAATATTTATTGGGCTTTTTTGTTTTTAAATTTGTTTTTAATAACACAAAAATATCTAAAGTATCTACTGATGTTTGTTATTTTTAATATTGTGTTGTTTTAGATAGCAGGAAAGTTTTATCTAAACTAATTATCTATTGATATTGCCTTTTCCCTTAGAAAAATATACTTCTAAGCAAAGTGAAAAAGATTTTTTTTTCAAATGTAGAGGGGAAAAAAACAGGAAATACAACAAAATGACAATTATGTATATGTTAGAATAGTGAAAACAGAAGAAATTCTACTGTTTTCTGGTTTTAAATATTTATATACCAAGGTTGTTCATTAAAATATTTAATTAGAAATTAATATTATTTCATTTAAAGAAAACTCTGAAAATTTAATATTATTTAATATTTAAAGGCTATTTGGAAGGAAAACCCTTGAGGAAAATTAACTTGATCCCATTTTTTAATTTCCAGAAAGTATATATGTAATCATGAAAAATATATATTCTTTAGATACCTATATAAGCATAGAGAAAGTATAAAAAAGCAGATTCTATAATATTTACTGGTATTATTGCAGGGTGAAAAGGTTACAGGTGATCTTGATTTTCTTCTTTATACTTTTCTGGGGTTCTTCCCCTGAATTTTGGACGATGAGTAGAAATCATTTTATTATGTTAAAAATACTAATTACGTTTTTTAAAATTTTACAAAAATAAATCCTGGCTAACATTTTGAAATTAAAACATCAAACTGATTTAAACTTTGAAAGTCTCGGATGGGTTTTTTTAAAATTGAATTTTCCCCATTTTTCAACTACACTACTTTTTAATTCATTTTTTTTTTTTTTTTTTAGGAGAACAAAGTCTATCAGTTAACAACTAGGTGAAGTAACTTGGGTTAAAAAACAAACTGCTAAGAATTTGACAGTCGGGCAGTCACCAGAACAGTGCTCTACTAAACATAAGAAATCCTAGAATTATTATGTATTGCAGAAGAGGCTTAGATTAAATTAAAAGTCACTTCTAAAAAGTATTGTGTTCTCCCAACTTCTAGAAAAATGCCTTTCATTATTGGAAATCTGCACTTCATTCATTCAATTGTTCACAATTCCTAATGGTGAACATTTATTTCTAATAAGATGTAAAATCTCAATAAATGGACTAAGTTTACTTCATTCCTAGAAAGGTTCGCTTTTTAAACGGAGTCCCTACCACTTTGTCAAGCACAATGGGTAAAATTCTCATTTATCCTCTAAAATAGGTTGGATCAATGTTACTAAAGTATGTTCAATTTTAGTCTCGAAAGACTAATGTGTTTCATCTGTGTTTCAGAAATATCAATTGTAAACAATTTTATTTTCTCACTTAAACTTCTTTTACTAAGATTAGCAACAGATTGTCAGTTTTCCTAATGCATAACACTTTGGGGCGGTTTAAATGGGAATCTGCACGAAGGCTTTTATTTAGCATTCTTTCTCATCAGCAATTTTCCCCCACTTAAAAAAAAATGTTTATTGGTATACATTCACACAAATATTTGGGGCCGAATCTCGGCAACCCGCTTCAAAGGATTAGATGTGCGGTTACCATAAGCAAACGCATTCATTCACCCTAAAAGATTTAAGAAAATGTAATGTTTGTAGGGAAAGCGAGGTCTCTCTGTAAACCTCCGTAGCTGAGAGCCTCCAAAGCCCGCCAAGCACAGTGGAAGCATCCACAGCTGTTTTCAATTGTTTTTGCTTTCTCAAAATAATGCACTTGGTGGAGCAAACGGTGCTGTTTGCAGCATCTCTAGCCCCCAAACCGGGGTTAACCCTGACCTGAATGCCCTGTTTGGCTCCCGGCATCGCATGATTTCGCTTCCCTGCTCGGTAAAAACCTAAGAAAAATGGGATTTCCACCTCTGAGAAAAGCGTTTAGGAAGAAGGGTGAATTAGGTGTTTTAAATGTCGGGTTTTAGTGTTCTCTCTCACCCAGATTCAAGAAAAAGAGAAAAGATGTTATTTGTATAGGGGGACGCGGTTTGACACCTATTTCCTTTGGCTCCTATCTAGGCCAAGGGGCCCCAATAACGGGGTAACATCCCCCCAAAATGGGCAGCGACCCCCAGGTCTTTGCTACAAGATCGAGAGAGGTCCAACTAGGGGGCTGGGGTGGGGGGGGTCAGAGGGTGCTGGGAATGGAAACTGGAGCTGAAATTTCTGCGCCCGCTGGTCAGGGAGGGGCCAGTGGGGGTTCAGAGAAAAAGAAAAGGCCAGGGGTCAATCCTGGAGAGGGACCCACAGTCCCCAAAAGTAGGGTACAGGGCATTCTGAAAGAGGGATACAATGGGGGCATCAAGAGGGGCTGAAGCCCAAAGGGCGAGCCCCGGTACCCGAACCCGAGTGGGGGAGGGGGAGGCGGCGGCCTGTTTGGCCCAGGACCTCCACATCGCGCGCAGGCCACTAACCTGTCAGCAAGAATGTGCCAGTGGTCGCGGGGCTCATCCTGCGTGTCCCCCGACCCTGTCCAGTCCAAGCACAGGGGTCTCCCAGCTCCCACCACCGGGGCAAAAGCATTCTTGGCCTGGCTAGGCCGGCCGTCCTCGATTCTCCCCTCCCCTCCCTTTCTTCTTTCCTCCCAGCTTGGCCAGTTCAGCCTCAGCATCCAGCACCCCCTCCCTAATCCCCTACTCCCTCTAGCGGCGGGCCACTGAAGCGTGGCCATCGCCCCCCCTCCCCCATCCCCCATCCCTCCCGCCCCCGCACCCCCCTCCGCCCCCCAGCCCGCAGAGCACGCTGGGATTTGGCGCCCCCCTCCTCTGTTCAGCCTATATAAGGCAGGCGGTCTGGGCTCCGGGTACACGCGCTTCAACTTCGGTTGGTGTGTGTCGAAGAAACCTGACTGCGACCTGAGGAGAACATCGGAGAGGGTCCACTGAGCCTCTCGAGAGGTCCGCTGAGCGGGCTCGCGTCCGGAGCCACTCCGGGCTGCGGAGCACCCAGTGGAGCCCACGCCTGGCCAGGTGTGGGACCCCTTCCTTCCTGTCTTCGCAGAGGAGTCCTCGCGTGGTGAGTATGCGGTGAGGATGTTTTTTATTTTTAAGATCACATTCATTCCCCGTTTTTATCGGGAGCTGCGGGAGATGGAGTAGCGCCCCAGAATGTCTCCACGCAAACCTTGCCACGCCTTCACTGGCAGAACCCCAAAACTGACTGGGGGAAACCAAGCCTTCAGGGCTCTGGTTTCCAGGACCCAAGTCCAGATACGGTCTGTAGACAGACATGAGCTGCAGACAGGAATGAGCTGCAGACGCACATGAGCTACAGACTAATTTGCAGATAGCTCTACAAATGCTACAAAGTGCTATGTGCTAAAACTAATTGACGCTTCCATGCGCTACAAACTGATAAGCGCTTCAGTTGCGCTACAAACTTGCGCTTCATGCGCTACAAACTGATGGGCGCTTCATGCGCTACAAACTGAGGGGCGCTTCACGCGCTAGAAACTGATGGGCGCTTCATGCGCTAAGGACTGGCGCTTCATGCGCTGGAAACTGATGGGCGCTTCATGCGCTAGAAACTGATGGGCGCTTCATGCGCTAAGGACTGCCGCTTCATGCGCTACAAACTGGCGCTTCATGTGCTAGAAACTGATGGGCGCTTCTCGCGCTACGGACTGGCGCTTACATGCGCTACAGACCTGTAAAAACTGCAGCGATATCTGAGCTGCAGACTAAAGATTAGCTTGCGCTTTAAATGCGCTTCAAATTCTGAGCTGAAGACTAGCTTTTCAAAAGCGCTACAAAAATGATATTAGCTATACAATAGCGCTTCAATGCGCTATAAGGCACATGAACTGCGGAACAATTTACACCTAAAAGGCTTGCAAAGTGGAAACTGCTGCAGAGGTACATGAGCTGCAGGCTGTTTGGCGCTACAGATAAACCAGGTATAGAAGGAAAAGGGCTGCAGAGTACAATTACTCTGCTTCTTAGATGGGGACCCCACCCTTTCACCTTTTCGAATGGCTCCCACTGTATTTCTTTGCAGGATGGCTCTGTGCATGATGGTTCTGTTAGACAAAATGGAGCCTTGGGCAAAAAAAATTAGTGTTTAACATTCTACCCACACCATTCCTGCTATGGCAGTGGAGTGGAAGGGCGCTGACTTTTGGGGATGGCAGATTAGGCTGCCTAGTTATGTTGATTGAAGTGGCTGTGTAGTTGTCGTGGTGGCGCGAATCGGTGTTCAGCAACAGTTTGTGGAAACTGTCGGTTTGCTGAGTTGGGGGGGGGGCTGGATCTGGGGTGATTGCTCTTGCTGCATGAGATGAATCTGGCTGTTGGAGGTTGGTGGGAGGGGTATGGGGGCGGGGTCTTGGGAGTGGCGTGCAGACACTCTGCAGCCCTGTAGCAGCCAGTCTCTGGCCTGCCCCGCCCATCCTAACGCGCCTTCTCTGCAGTATCTGCTCAGAACGCGCTTAGCGCCTCCCTTCCTCCCTCCCAGCGCCTACTCAGAGCGCGCCTCCCCTGCAGCGCGCCTCCCCAGAGCGCGCCTCCCCAGGCCCCGCCTCTCCAGCGCTGACTCTTGGAGCCAGCCTGCCCAGACCCCGCCCCTCCCTGAGCCCCCTCCTCTGAGGTGGCCTGCCCAGACCCCGCCCCTCACTGAACCCCTCCTCTGAGGTGGCAGCCCAGATCCCTCCCCTCACTGAGGCCCCTCCTCTGAGGTGGCCTGCCCAGACCCCTCCCCTCCCTGAGGCCCCTCCTCTGAGGTGGCCTGCCCAGACCCCGCCTCTC